GGTAGGAAGCGGAGGGAGCCCGTGCCGGGCCGGTCGTGCCCCGAGGTAGGAAGCGGAGGGAGCCCGTGCCGGGCCGGTCGTGCCCCGAGGTAGGAAGCGGAGGGAGCCCGTGCCGGGCTGGTCGTGCTCTCGCAGCCTACACGCCGCAGGAGATCGTGGGTGGCATCCCGGCTGAGGAGCGCCTGCTGCCCGAGCTGCTGAAGGGGGCCGGCTACACCAACAAGATCGTGGGCAAGTGGTGAGTCCTGACGCTCCTGCGGGGCATGCGCAGCTGGTGGGTGAGTGCAGGGTGCTGTCTGGGGGGGGGACACGGAGCGGCAGCCGGGAGGCGGAGGACAGTCCCTTGGTGGGGGATCGTGAGGGCCCTGTGGTCATGACGGCAGAGGCCCCTGTGGTGTGCGTGTGTGCCGTTCCTGCCACTGGGAGCAGGTTCCATGGGGATCCCCAGGTGTGCAGCCCGTGAGACAGATGTGAAGGTCACAGGGTCTCTGCTCCCTCTCCCGAGCTGTGGGGCTCCTGGAAGAGAGCCAGTCCACCCTCCCCGGGGAGCCTTTCCGATGGCCAGCCGTCCGTGCCTGTCCTTCATGGCACCGTGGCCCCTCTGCCCTTAGTTCTTCTGCCATTTGCTGGCACTGCCTTCTCCAGGATGGGCGCCCGAGCACAGCACTGTGGTCACGGCAGTGGGAGAGCCATGGGAAGCAGGACACTGAGTGTCGAGAATCCTGGTGATCCAGGGGCTGCCCGACGAGTGCTTTCTCGCTCCTGAGTCTCGTCGGGAGCCATCCTGCCACGCGGTGCTTGGAGGAGGTGGTGGCAGAGCGCAGCTCTGGGGGTGCTTGTCACCAGCCCAGTCCTGGGCAGTGCCCAGAAAGCCCGGGGAGACTGCCAGGGCCATCTCTGTGGGGAGCCCATGGGAGGGACGGGCCCTGTGATGCCCAGCCTGGCAGCTGTGCCCTGGGTCCAGCAGGCTTCCGGGGCCGGCGCGGGGGGGCTGGGGTGGGGCGTCCCAGTCTCAGTGGGGTCTGTCACAGGGCTGTGGCCTGCACTGACCTTCTTCCTCCCAGCCCAGTGCCACGGAGTCAGACTTCCGTGGCTTGAGCGAGTCTGGGGGTGGGTGGAGGCTGGATTCACATGAGAGCCCATTCCAGCCGCCCTGGTCCCGGGGACTGTGGGGTCCCGAGGGACTGCAGCCCGCTCAGGCTCAGCGGCAGGCGGCGCTGGCCCCACTGCTGTTGGGAGCCGACGGCCTCGCAAAAGTAGCCCTTCCAGCGGCTGTGCGTGTCAGGTGGAGGCCGCCTGAGCTGGTGGGTATGTGCGTGCAGCCACGTTGGCCCAGCCAGCATGTCCCCCTCTGGGCCAGCGCTGGTGGGCGTGCAGAGACGTGACCATGCCAGAGCAGCGGCCCGGGCCGGCCTGAGACGCGGAGAGGGAGCACAGAGCACAGAGGGACGGTTAGGTTTCTGCAGCGAGTGGCCGCTGTAGCGCCCATGGCCCTGCCCCCAGCAGAGGGCCCTGCAGACACCAGAGCCGCACCGTGGCTACGCGGCAGTTGGGAGGCAGAGTGTTTGAGAACCAGCTGTGGGAGCCGAGGCCCCGAGAGACACACTGTCACCTTCTTAGACCCCGGCACTGGGCACCTCAGTTCTGGCCCCACGTGGCCTACCCACCCCCGCCCCACCGTGCCGTGCCACACCCGCCTTGTGTGTGACCACACACAAGTGACCAGTGCCTGGGCATCTGCACGGGCCTCCAGAACACCTCTGAGCAGGCAGCGGGGTCTCCTGGCCGCCTCCTCCAAGGCCTCCCCAGGGCAGCAGAGGAGGGAGACCCTGCTTTCCAGCTTGTGTGGCCGTGAGAGGCCCGTGGGAGCCCACTGGCCCCGTAGAGTTGCTGTGCTCCCCAAGAGCCCATGGGCGGAGTGGAAACCCCCGTGTGCCTGCACCGTGTGTTCTGAGGAGCAGACGGCTCTGGCTCAGGGACTGCTGGGTCCTCCCTCAGCTGCTTCTTGTTGGCAGAACTGACAAAGGGAGGGTCGTGATGCCCGCAGTCCGGAGAGCCTGGGCTGGGGAGCGGCTTGGCCCTGGTCACCCCACGGGCACACCCATCCCCGAGCTGGGCCCCGGGCACTGGGTTAGTGTGCAACCTTGGCAGGTCCTGGAGCGTCCCAGGCTGTGATGAGGCCAGGCTGGGATGGTCAGCTCCCCCAGGGCCGCGCAGCTGTCTTTTGGGGCATGATTATTCGTAACTGGGGGAAGAGGCTCTTGAAGACCTTACTGTGAGGGGCTGGCAACTACCTCACAATCCCAGAGAAGGCAGAACCTATAGAACCGTCCCCAGAAGTGGAAGAAGAAAGAAACCAGAGTACAGAGAGTTCTGGGTGGCTTCTGGCTGGTGTGAACTCACTGGGTGTCTTCCCTGAGCCCTCGCAGCACTCCGGAGGGATGCCTGAGTGCCCCTCTGTGCCCGGACACCCGCTGTGGCCAGGGCCGTGGGCTGTCGGCGTGGGTGGGCGGGGTCCTGGCGCCCACCTGGAGGAGGACGTCTTGGGGCACCTGGGGCTCAGCACACACAAGGCAAGGAGCTGTCCGTGCTCAGGACTTTGGGGTACCCTGAGCAGGGTCCCTAAAGCGTCCGGGTTCCCGTTTCTAGGCATCTGGGCCACAGGCCTCAGTTCCACCCCCTGAAGCGTGGATTCGACGAGTGGTTCGGGTCCCCCAACTGTCACTTTGGACCATATGACAACAGGGCCAGGCCCAACATCCCTGTGTACAGGGACTGGGAGATGGTCGGCAGGTAACGGTCCCTTCCCGCCCCACCCCGCACACCGAGGAGCTCAGCCCCGCCTTCTGATGCCGCTCTGGGGGCGGGTCAGCGGCTCTGGCACGGCCTCCTAGCGCTCGGCTTTGTCAGCCGACGGTTCTGCCGCGGTGAGGAGGACCACGGCCTAGGGCTGCTGTTCGAGCCGCCCACAGGGGACTTTAGCGTGGGAGAGGTTAGGACCCCCGAGGTGTGTCACACAGCACTGTGTTCCGCTCCCGAGGTTTGGTTCCTGAAGCCGTTGGGTGGCCCTGGGCTCCGGCTCCGAGGCCGTCCGCCTGCACCAGGCTGGCCTGTGGCTGTGTGCCAGGAGCCCACGGGGCTGCTCCCTTCCTCGGGAGCCCGCCTGGAGCTCTGCTGCCCTAGCCGGGTGGCTCCCCGGGCTCCGGTCTGGCCGCGGGCATGCCTTCACGGTCCCCGCCGTGTGTCCCCGCTCGTCGGCGCGGTTCTGTTTCCAGCTTCATCTGTCTTCACTTTCCTCCCTGCCCGCCTTTCGTGTTGCTTCACGTTTTTGGTGGAAGTTCTTGCATCAGGGCCAGAAAGCTGGGTTGGGCCCATGCGTTTCCAGGACAGCCTCATTGAGGGAGAACGCGCCCCGTTGGAAGCGGGGTTCGGGGGTCCTGGAGCGCCCATGGTGCCCCGCAGACACAGCCGGCTCAGAGTGCCTGTGCCCGTGAGCTGCTGCTGGCCCGGGGTGACCGCAGTGCCCCCTCTGCCAGCCTCCCTGTGTCCTCACACGTGGTTGCTCCCAGGTGGGGGCTGCCGTGGGGCCTCGTCCTGGACCGGCCCGGGGCCTCCGGAGCGGCGCACGCCTCTGGGTCGTTGACGTGCACGGGCGGCGTTTCCCTCCTCCTGTGAACGGGGCCGTACCCGCCTGGGACGTCAGGGAAGAGGAGGCTCACGTGGCTTCCGGGAGGCGGATTTTTGTCTGGGTCTGTGTCACTTTCAGATACTACGAGGAATTCCCCATCAATCTGAAGACCGGGGAAGCCAACCTGACGCAGGTGTACACGCAGGTGACCAGCGCGTGGGCTGGGCGGGCGCGCGGGGAGGCTGGCCTCCGGGCAGACGAGCAAGGCAGCGTCTCCCCCAGGAAGCGCTGGACTTCGTGCGGAGGCAGCACGCGGCTCGGCGCCCCTTCTTCCTGTACTGGGCCGTCGACGCCACCCACGCGCCCGTGTACGCATCTCGGCCCTTCCTGGGCACCAGCCGGCGAGGGCGGTGAGTCCTTGGTCCTAGAGACGTGGTCCCCCACCTGGAGAGTTCGGCTGAGCTTGATTGGCTCCAGAGATGGGGCACTCAGCCATTCGGTCTCAGTTACCCTCACGGGAAGGGATGGCAGCTCCCGTGCTTCCCCGAAGCTGCCGGCCGGCCCAGTCTGTGTGCAGGAGGGTTGCAGCAGTGTGGCATGTTCCGTCCCGTGTTAACTCTGGGAACTGGGCTTCTCCTCTCCCTCTCCTCTGAAGCCAGCCCCTCCGGTGTGCTGTCCATCCCCGAAGTCGTGACTTCTCTGCTCACTGACGCCCTTTCTCACCTTAGGTACGGGGACGCTGTCCGGGAGATCGACGACAGTGTTGGGAAAATCCTGAGCCTTCTCCGGAACCTGAGGATCGCAGAGGACACGTTCGTTTTCTTCACCTCCGACAATGGCGCTGCCCTCATTTCTGCTCCTAAACAAGGCCAGTGTTCCAAGCACCCTCGCCTCCCCAGATGGGGCTGCCCTTGGGACACTGGGATCTCTGAGGCTCTGTCAGGGCCACTCAGCCCTCCTAGGGGCCCCGTCCAATGGGGGAGATGCCCGCTACCTTCCCGAGGGCCCTCGTCCAGTGGGAAGACTGTCGCCCAGGAGACTTGCTGGGGCATCTCCAGACCTCCTGGGAAGTGGTGTCTTGGAGGGCAGGGACCCAGCCCCTACCCCAGAGTGCGGGCCTGGCTCAGCAAGGGAGCCGCTGCAGGGCCGTGACCCCCCCAGGGCTGCTCGGCAAATTCACGGACTGTTGCACCTTGGGGAGCAAGGGGTTCCACCTGGTGTCCTGTAAGCCTGTCTGTCCCCCCTCCCTGTCATGGTACCATATCTTTTTGTCCCATTTTCCTTTAAGGTATTGGGGCCTTAGCAGGGCCCTGAGTCACTCAGAGGGCTCTGGAAGAAAGGCCACGGGGAGCAGGAAACCCCAGAGGGACAGGCCTCGGCTGGGAGGTGCTAGGGGACCATGCAGTTGGGGCAGCCCCTCGGCTGGCATGGGTACAGATGGGGTCAGGTGAGAAGGAATCACGCTGGCACAGAGCAGCACTTTGGGGACTGGGCCCGGCTGGTCTGGGGCCCCAAGGGGCCATTCACGGCCCATGGAGGGACCTCGTCCTCACGCAGGCGCTCCCTGCACTGCTGTTGGTCCCAGAGGTGAGGGTGGGACCCTCTGCATCCCTCCCAGCAAAGACCCGGGGCCTGGCTGGACGCCGCTGTCCCTGCTGTGCCTCCCAGCTCTGCGCCGAGAGCCCCCGACGCGCAGGCCTTGCCGGGGCCGCCAGCGGTGTCCCATCTTCATGCCTGAAGTAGGGGCCGGTTCCCACGCACGCAATCCACATGCTAGGTTGTAAGAACGCAAGTTTGTGTGCTCGCCTCACCGTTTGCGACACAGAAATAGACAAGCAGTCGGGCCTCGTCAGTACATCTGAGCCCCGCAAAGCCCCAGGAGGAGCCACGTCCATCCTCGCTGTTCCTGCGATGCCCTTGCCTGGGCCTCCGTCTGCCCACGCTCGCTCACTTGTCGCCCGGACGCGCCCTTCCTTGCTTTCTCTCAGGGTCTGCCTGTGCTAACGCGGGGGGCCGGGGTGCGGGTCCTGCGTAGGAGCAAGAGCACCGCCTCTCCTGTTCCACCCGGGGGCCGGGCTCGAGGGAGCCACAGGCAGCAGGTGGTGGTGGCAGCGCCGCCGTTCGCCCTGGGCTCTGGGAGGGAGCCAGCCTGGCCAGGGCCGTCTGCCCTCCGGCGCTTCCCATGCGTGTGGTTCAGGAACCGAACCTGCCCCGTCCCCAGCCCCCTGCTGGGACCGAGGTGGGGGACACATTTTGATTAGACCCCCCACCCCCCACACAGGGGACACTCGAGGACAGGAACATGTAAGTCACACAGTCCTTGCAGGCAGCCGTGAACCCCACTGAGCTGCTCCCCAGGAGCCTGTGTCACAGCCCCGCCTAAGGGCAGTCGTCACAGTCTCCATTTCTGAGCACTCGCGCTGCCTTAGGGAAACAGTGTCACCGCCTGACCATGTCCAGGCATCTGGCCTTGACCTTGATGCCTAAACTCTGTGGCTGGTCCTTTCAGCAGTGTCACCCCGAGGACCCAGGAAGCTTGGGGGCAGGCTGTGACAGATCCTCCTGAAAGCAACAGGCCAGCAGGGTGGACGCCCTGGGGACTCGGGGTAGGCATCTGATGCACAACGACTCTGTCTCCCCAGGCGGTAGCAACGGCCCGTTTCTGTGTGGGAAGCAGACCACGTTTGAAGGTGGGATGCGGGAGCCTGCGATCGCGTGGTGGCCCGGGCGAGTCCCTGAGGGCCAGGTGAGTGACGCTGGCCGCTCATGGAGCTCAGACTGCCAGCTCCACACCAGGAGGCGGCTGGTGAAGGGCAGGTGGGGCGGGCACTGGGGCCTCAGGGGCGGTGTTAGCAACTGCCATCCGGTGACGAGGCTGCCTTGTCAGTGGACATGGCGGTCCTGAGTTCAGCTAAGTTAAGCAGGTTTCTTTTCTGCAGGACTTGTCAGAGCTCTAGTGTGCTAATGGACCTCACGAACACCCGGCAGGCACTGAGCTCCTAAAAGCTTGCTTGGCCACACAGTCTCCCTCCGGCCACTGGTTCCCTAGCAGCCTCCCAGACATTGGAGCCCTTTCCTGCCCCAGAGCTCCTTGCTCTGTCCCTCCCTCCACCAGGAACCCACACGCAGGGTCTTCTCTCACAGGGCAGCTCAGTTCAGACTCCTGAGGAATACAGGGTCTTAGGGCTCCCGTTTTGAAATACTCCTTTCACGGTCTCCGAACTGGTCTCTCTCCCCTTCCGACGCCCCCCAGGGAACACTGGTATTGGTGCGGCCCTCACAACAACACTGCAGGGGCATTGATTTCCCTGTGGTCTCTGTCACAAGTGCTGCGCTCCATGCCTTCCATGACACCCTTCTCCACTCAGGCCGGAGGTTGGGAGACCAGCTGGGCCTCCTGGGCCAGGCTCACAGCATCACAGGGCTGCTTCCTTCTGGAGGCTCCAGGGGAGGGTCCGTTTCCTCGTCTTTCCAGAGTCCTTGAGGTACCCACGGCCCCTCCCTCCGTCGTCCAGTCCAGTCGAATGTCACCTTGTCCCTCTGACTCTGGCCCCCCGGCCACTGCCCATGGCCAGGACCCCGCACCGACCCTCCTCTCTCTGACTCCGGCCCCGGGGCTGTTGCCCGTGGCCAGGACCCCGCGCCAACCCTCCTCCCTCTGACTCTGGCACCCCGGCCACTTCCAGGGACCCAGAATCAGCTCCCATCTTCAGGCCAGCTGCTTGGTAGCCTTGATTCCCTCTTTGCTATGTGAGGAACGTGCACGGGGTCTGGAAATGGGGACGTGGACCTCAGTGCGGGGGGCGTTACTCTGTCCCCATCACCATCGTCAGCATTCCCATGCCACGTGTTAGCAAACCGTGGCCCAAGGAGAGGAAGTCACTTGTCAGGACTGCTGGCAGTCCCATGGTGGAGCTGGGATCAGACACCGGGCGTGGGGCACGGAGCCCACCCTCCTGCCCAGGCTCCCCCACAGCTGCACCCTCTGGGACTGTCTCTAACCCTGACCCTGACCCTGACCCTGACCCTAACCCTAATCCTAACCCTAACCCGGGGCCGGCTCCAGCCTTTGGGATCCTCCGCCTCTGGCCCTCCTCTGCCTGGCTCCTCACCTCTCAGCCCTGCTCCCTGAGGCGAGAATCCAGGAACAGCCGGGCAGCCTTCCCCGCGCCGTGTCCCATGGCACACGCTGAAATTGAGCCTGACAAGTTGTGAGGCCTGTGCCCTGCAGCGACCACGGGAGAGTTTCATTTAACCACTGTGGTTTGCCCACCGTTTCCGGTACTCAGGCCCCCTCCTGCCTGGTGGAGGGACCGCTCCTGTGTGGGGTCTTGGCAGTGCCGGTGGCACCAGCAGGGACTCTGTGTCCCACAGCAGTCTGATGGTGTTCTTTCAAAGATGTGACGCATGTCGAGAGTGTTTGTCCTTCAGGAAGTTTCTGTGTGTGCCCCCGGCTGTTCTGTGCTGACAAGAAGGACAGTAGCTGTCCTGGCCTAACCCCACCATGCTACCCACATGGCAGTCTCCTCCCTCTTTATTTTTCTTGGCAGTTAAAGTACTGGGATTTCTTGATTTTTTTTCCTTTCTTTCTTCCTTTTTTTGTTGCAAAAAAAGCGGCAGGGGAGGAGCCGTGGCAATGAGGTAATGCCACTGGCCGCCTGCTCCTGCCTTCTGCAAACCCGCGCAGAAGGTTCGAATCAAACGCCAGCTTCCTGCTTCCCCAGGCTGGGCTGCTGAGCCCACAGTGCAGGCGGCTGTGGCCCGTGTGCTCCGTGTCCACACGGAGTTCCTCATGGCGGGGGCGTCTCACGTGATCCCAGGGCCGCCGTGAGGGGCCCCTGGGGACCGGGAAGAGCGGCTGGAGGTCCCAGCCAACAAGATGCCCACAGATGCCCGCCCCGCCAAGCTGAACAGCGGACTCTCCGGCCTCCCCACGCCGGCCCTCACCCCAGCTCCAGGCTGCTGACGCCAGGTGGTGGGGTGAACCCCGGGGTCTCCAGATGAGGCAGAGCCACGTCCAGGGAGCAGACGTGCGTCCGTGGAGACCAGCATGTGGCCCTCGGCCAAGAGTGCTCCTCTCCTCAGACCCGTCTCACTCGGTGCCTCGACTGAGACCATCCCGTTTGGGCCCGGGTCGTCCCCAGCCAGCTGCCCCTCTGTGCTGCTCTGGGCCTCGAGGGTCTCCTCTCCACCTGTGCTCTTACCTGACTTGGGAAGCTCACAGTGGCTCAGTGGTGACAGATGGGCTCAGAGAGGTCCGGCATCAGCAGGCTGGGCCCCACCTGTGTCTCCCTGCACCGTCTTCTTACCTCTGTCTCATTCGTAGTCACCACAGAAACGAGGACTCAGGAACTGGGGATGGGACAGTTTGAATCCCCGCTCAGCCCTAACCTCCCAAAGCCACTCTCCCAAGGAGGAGCTCGTCCCTCCCTTGCAGGGTCGTGAGGCCTGAGGGTTCGTGTGGTGGCCCACGTGCACTGACCTGACTCTCCAGAGCATGCGGGGCTCTGGGACAGCCTGGAGCGGGGTCAGACTGCAAAGGCAGGGCCCAGAGGAAGGGGCTGGGCCCAGGGCATGTGCACCCGCATGTGGACATCGGGCAGAGAAGGCCTCTGTGCCCGTGTGCCCCTGGCTGCCGTCCGGTCAGGGTGGGCTCGCCGAGTGCACCCGTCATCTTTCCAGGTGAGCCACCAGCTGGGCAGCATCATGGACCTGTTCACCACCAGCCTGTCCCTCGCGGGCCTGGCCCCGCCCAGCGACAGGGTGATCGACGGCCTGGACCTGCTCCCTGCCATGCTATGGGGCCAGCTGACAGACAGGTGCGTGCCCGCCGGGCGCCAGCCCCCCAACACCAGGGGACAGAGCCAGGCCTGGCTGACAAGGCCATTTCCTCCCCAGGCCGGCTCGGGGCAGGGGGAGGACCTGAGAAGCGAGAAGCGAGAGCACTGGCGCTCCGAGACCCTGCTCCCAGCACCCGGGGCATCGGGGCCCCAGGCCCAGCGCTGGGGGTGGAGGGAGTTCTGCCTGCGTGTCCGGCTGCCCGGACCCCTGGGGCCCGGCCTTGGCTTAGGCTTCACAGGTGCCGGACCTGCTTCTTCCCAGCTTGAGGCCAGGTGCTGTTGTGCTCAGACAGAGTCAGTTCCCCAGGCTGCTCGAGGGACGTGAATTGTGAAACGCTGTCTTGTGGCTGGGAAGGTGGCCACCCCCGCTGCAGGGCTGCTGAGGCCTGGGTCTGGGTGGTGGATGGTGTCAGGCGTTCTCAACTGTGCTTGTCTTTTCTGTCTTGGTCCCTGGACAAGAACTTGTTGACTCGGTGGGGAGGGAGTGCAGTGGTGGTGGTGGCTTAGCAGGCTCTCTGCCCCGAAATGAGGGCCAGAGCCTCTCTGCCTGCCGCCAGCTTCACGCCGGGGCCGAGGACCCAGGGGCCCGACCACCCACCACGGCCTGGTGGACCTGTTCCCCACTGTGCCCAGTGGGAGCCCAGCATGGTCGTTTCTGTGACAAGTTTCTCCTGCCTCCTGACCCTTTCCCTCCCTCCGCGACAGGCCAATATTCTATTACCGCGGCAACACGCTGATGGCGGCCACCCTCGGCCAGTACAAGGCCCACTTCTGGACCTGGACCAATTCTTGGGAGGAGTTCAGACAGGTGAGGGGGCTTGGGGTACCGTGAACTCTGCAGACCCACCACCCCGCTCTTAGGAGGACACCTCTGGACAGAGCAGGCCAGGACCAGAGGCCACTGTGGAAGACAGGTGGTCACAGGCCTCTCGTGCTCGCCACCTGACTCGTGGACCCCCAGACTCGCTGTGGCAGCGGTCCCCAACCTCTTCCAAACCACTCTCAGCACAGGGCATGGCAGAGTCCTGCCCCCTGGCCTACACGCTTAGCCCTGGACTCCCTCAGGCCCACTCAGCCCTCCTGCTCGCGTCCAGGGTCCCTGCCCTTGCTCTCCCTCCCACGGCTGAGCCTGCCCGCCCTTCAGGTACGATGTCAGCCATCCTCAGCACCTGGCCCCATGTCCTATCAGGCAGGGTGCCTGTGGTTTGCCCTTTAGGTGCTCAGAGGATAAGAGGTCGTAGGAGCCCCCAAAAACCCAGAGCTTGGCCGTGCGGGCTCGGGGGCAGCTGTGTGGCCTCACTGCTCCTTCCTGGGGCTTTCTGTGGCCCCACTGTGCCTGCCGAGATTCCAGGTGGCATGGGAGCAGGGTTCCGGGAGCCCCACCTCAGGCCTCCCCGTGGCTCCAGGGGCTCTTGGGCAGGGTCCGGGCAGCCCCAAATGAGACCCGTCCCAGCTTCCACCCTGGCCGGACCCCAGAAGAGCTGGGGGAGCCTCTTTCAGCAGGAGTGTTGGGAAAGTCCAGAAGGTTCTGCAGGTGGAGCCGTTGCCTGTGTGACCTGGGCAGACCGTGTTTGCGGTGGGACCCGGATCGGGAGAGGCCGCTCTGCTGCGTGGGTCCCGCCCTCCTCCGCCTGACACGTGGCTCCCACTCCCTCAGGGCTCTTTGCTCGGCACCCTTCTGAGTTCCCAGGAGGCAGAGCGCTGCTTCTCTTCTCCCCAGGGCAGTCCCTCCCTGGGAGGCAGCTGCCCGGGAGGGGAGTGGGCTCACCGTCGGCTGCTCTAATGGCTCTTACAGGAGGCTAACGTGCTAGGGCCAGCTTTGTTCAGAAGTCACGAGGCTGCCCGGCTGGGGCTGCTCAGCCTAAGGGCTCCCAGCCTAAGGGAGAGGCCCGGGGCTGTGTCCCTGCAGGGGCATGCGGGTCTGTGGTCCCTAGCTTGGGAGTCACCCGCGTGGACCCTGCTAGCTTCCCAGCTATACTCTTGTCCCTGGGGCCCGGCCACGTCCCAGGTCAGGCTTTTCCGTTCCCCAAGGGCTAGCTGAGGGGGGCGGGCCGAGGAGGAGGACGGACCAGCTTCCCTGTGGCAGCCCGTGGCACAGCAGGAGTGGGGTACACATGTGCATGTGGTCCTCTGCACTTGGGGGCCACTCCCAGACTTAGACTAAGTGCACGGCTCCAAGGGCCAGGGCCGCGGAGGGACGGGTGCACCCTGGGCTCCAAGGGAGAAGGGGCCATGTGGGCTGGCTGGGCTGTGATGTCCCAGGGGACAGCAGTCGTGAGGGAAACCCAGTGCTGGTTGGCGGGTTGTTGGTAAGTAGTGTACTTGGCTTGCATCCAGGTGAGGATTTGTGTTTTTCGTCTAGACTGGTAGCTGCCAGCTTTTTCGTGCTGGAGGCTGTGGGCTCTCCCGTAGTCAAATCCCAGTGTGTTCTCCAGCACTTCTACTCCCAGAAGGTCAAGGGGTCACCCACTTTGGAACCCACTTGGGCATGCATCACTGGCTGTCTCCGACTTCGAGTCTCCTTATTTTTCAGCCACTGGCTCAAGAGTCACAGCTCAGTGCGGATAAATGGAATTTCACGGGTTCCTAACCTCCCCGCTTCATTGAAAAGCAGAATGTTACCTGCTCCGCTGACCAGCTGTCCGTGACAGACGCAGGGGGTTGGACACGGGGTGTGGGGGGCCCGTCGACCGCACTGACCCTGCAGAAAGCCTTCCCTGGCTGCCAGTTCTGGGGTTCTCGAGCACCGGAGCACCCGTCTCTGTACAGCCGTCTCTCCAGACCCTCCCTTAGGCCGTGTCCCGTATTGGCTGAAGACTAGAGCTAAGCTGCTTGTGGGGCCCTGGGCTCACCAGGGTGTCAGGATTTCCTCGGGGTACAGCTGGCTTTTCCTATTCCCAAGTCGGGGTCCCACGGCCTGCGAGCCTTGGGGACACAGCTCTAGGCCGTGAGGGCAGTAGCTTCTGGAAGGGGCCCAGGGCCGTCCCAGCACCCGGACGGGGCTCGTGCCGCACGCTGACCTCAGAGACTGAAGCTGCCCCGCAGTGTACCCCCAAAGGAGCCCCGAGGGCAGAGGTGGCCTGGGAAGTTGCAGAACTGGGCCTGTCTGGGGGCCTGGGGCCATATACCTGAGCCTCGATACGCACGGTCTGCTCTCCTGTGTCCTCCGACGCGTCGGCCGTAGTCTGTTTCAGGCCCTGCTGTTCCCGGGCGTCTGGGCTGCCACTGTGGGCCTGTCTCTTCCCGGCTCCCGGGCGGCCTGCAGGGAGCGCTGAGCAGCACGCGCTGGGGTGGCTTTGCTCCAAAATTCAGTGACAGGCCCCCAGACGGGCTGGAACAATTTGTTTAAGTGGTAGCGCTTTTTTTCCTTTTTTTTTGAGATTTCATTTTTTACCCAGTCTCTATACTTAACGTGGGGCTCAGACAACTCTGAGATCAAGAGTTACACGCGTCACCGAGTCACCCAGGTGCTCCTAAAATATTTTAAAGAGATTTATCTCCCGGGGCACCTGGGGGGCTCAGCTGATAAGTGTCTGCCTTCGGCTCAGGTCAGCATCCCAGAGTCCTGGGATCGAGTCCTGCATCAGCCGGAAGTCTGCTTCTCCCTCTGCCCCTCATGTCACTCATGTTCTTTCTCTCTTTCTCTCTCTCTCAAATAAATAAGTAAAATCTTAAAAAAAAAAAAAAAAAAATCACTTCCCTGCCCCAAGAAGGGGCTGCCGGCGGGATTCAAAACACAGGCACGATGGCTCAGTGGCTCCGGGGCCAGGGCATGGGAGAGACACCATCCTACAGGAGGCTGGCCCTCCGTCGTGCTCAGCCCTGGGACACTCTCGTGGCACATCTAGGGATGCAGCAGGTGGGAGTGAGACGGGCTGGCTTGCCTCGGGGAGCTCGAGGCCCCTGCCTTCTGGGCTCCTGGGGCACACACAGCCCTCACTGCCCTCCCGGCCTCCCGTTTCAGGGCATCGATTTCTGCCCCGGGCAGAACGTCTCAGGAGTCACCACCCACACGCAGGAGGACCACACGGAGCTGCCCCTGATCTTCCACCTGGGACGAGACCCCGGGGAAAGGTTCCCCCTAAGGTGAGCCAGCCCCGAGCAAAGGCGCCAGCTTGCTGGTGGGCTGGGCACTGCCAAGTAGAGGCACGTCCTGAGCTCTTGGGAGACGGGCGGCGGCGGGTGGGGTGGTTCTCCTGCCCCCGCAGGTGGTCCAGGCCTGTCCTCCGTGTCTTCCTCAGCAAACTGGCATGCGTGGCCGGCCTCCTCAGGTGTTCCCATCTGCCTGGTCTCTGTCCCTCCACCACGGGTCCATGTGACACAGTTACGTGACCCCCGCCCTGAACAGCCTCTGCGTGTGGGGAGGACGAGCCCCTCCGTACCCGGCGGGCAGCACCAGCGTGAAAGATCCACCCCGGGGCTCCTCCCAGCAAGGCTCTGGGGCGGGGCCTTGTGGTGCCAACCGGGACGCTTGAGACACTTCCAGGCCCTTTGCTCAGCTTAGATCCCGGGGACTGTGGGAAGGAGACAGACGGGGCCCCACGCCTGCCCACACTAGAACCTCACACGTGGCCTTACTGGCAGCGGGGACTTCGTGGGGACAGTGAAGGCAAGGTCGGGGGGAGGTCATCCTGGATCAGGGTGGTCCTGCCTCCGGAGAGTAGCCCTGGGAGACAGAAGAAGGGACACACACGGGGGGAGAGGCCACATGAAATCGGAGGCAGAGATGAAGGGACACGCACCTCCCGAGGGTGTGTGTTCCTGCCTGGATCTCGGCCTGCAGTCTCCAGACCTGGGAGGGAAGAGACCCTGGGGGCCTAAACCCCAGTCTGTGGCCGCATGTCTCCAAGGCTCCAGGACACTTCCTGCTGGGAGCTGGGAGGCCCTCGCGGGTATCAGCAGCCACAAGTGTGGAGCCCAGGGCCATGTGCGCGTGGGGCTGGGGATCAGGCTAAACCAGGGGGAGGCTGGGAGGAAGCAGTCCGAGCCCCTCTCCTGTCCCTGGAAGTAACTTCAGAGCCAACACCCAGCGGGGCCATGGGAGCCGATGGCAGGGCCTGATTCCGGAGGAGCCACAAGGCCGCACCTCTGCCCATGAGGCCTCCCACAGTCTGACTTCCCCCAGCATCACCCAGAAGTCACATATGTCCCCAGCACACTTGTGCCCGTACTTCAGAGGACGAGAGCCAGGCAGACCTTGCTGCTGAGATGAACGACCGTAGCTTAAGCCAGTCCTTCCCAGTGCATTTGGCCAGAGAAGGGGAAAGACTTGACAGGGTCTTGAGGCCTGCTCTGAAAAGCTTGCAGGCCGTGTGTGCGGTGAGCGCGGCCTGCAGGATGGAGTGGAGGGCTTGAGGTTCGGGGCAACCTGGGACTGCCACGGTTACAGACCCAGAGACTGGGGAGTAGGGCGGGACCCCTGCTCCTGCCACACAGATCTGGGCGGGAGGGACTGGGAAAGTGGGAAGGCCCCAGGTCTGCTCGGGGGCGCCCATGGTCCTATTGGTGCCCTCAGTGGTGCTGGCCGGGGCTCAGGCCCCGAACGCTGAGTCAGGGGTCATGGCCGCTGTGCCTGCGGCCTCGTCTGTAGGACAGTTCCTGAGGTGCATGCCAGCCCTTGGGCACAGAAGGACAGCGGTAGGGGCCACCGGCTGGTGGCTCCACTGGGGTGGTGGACCCCTCGCTCCCCAGGCCCCTACCCCCGCTGCTTGGGTGGCCTGTCCCGCTGGCCGGCCTGGGTCTCACTCCCTCAGTGACCTGGTCCTCTTGCCTCTAGCTTTGCCAGCCCTGAGTACCTGCATGCCCTTCGTGGGGTCACCCTGGCCGTCCGGCAGCACCAGGAGACCTTGGTCCCTGGACAGCCCCAGCTCAACGTGTGCAACCGGGCCGTCATGGTGAGTGCTTGATGTGCCGCAGGCCGCCAGTGCTGGGAGGGTGTCCCGGGAGCCGTGGAACGTCTGTGCAGCCCACACCCTCACCCCCTTCTCGACTGGGAGCTGTCTGGGATCGCCGAGACTTCTGGCAGCGGAGGCGACTGCTGGGCAGTGTGGCAGGACGCCGGTAGACGGCGGGCCTCCAGAGGCTGCCAGGGCTGCGGGCTGGACCCCTTCCCCTCCTGCTGCTCTGCGCAGACCCTGCAGGGGTGGCCAGGAGTCGCTTGGCCTAAGTCACTCCCACATGGGGTGTGGACACAGTGGACTGATGGCCTGAAGGTCCTGTCCCTGGAACTGAGGGTGTCTGGCTTCCTGCTCCGGACATGGGTGATTCAGGTGTCCCAGTATCCGAAGCTTTGGCTTCAAAGCCCACCAAGCACCGTCAGGACGGCGTGGCCCAGCTTCCCGGCCTGACGGCCCCTCTCCCTGAGCCGCGCATCCTGCAGCCCCGCACGGTGGTTCAGAGAGCAGCCGGACACCGTTGACGCTGCCGTGTGGAGTCTGGTCTGCTCCGAGGGGCCAGGGCAGCGTGGGGGGAGCGCACCAGGAGCAGATCAGCCGCGTGTTCCGGGCGCTGAGCGTGATCCTAGGGCGGGCAGGGCTGCCTCGGTAGCCAGGGCCAGGGTGGGGTGGCCTGTCGCTGCTGTCCACGCCTGCAGCTTCGTGTCCTGAAGCTCCCCACAGGACGACGTTCAGAGCAGAAGCCCCCAGGGCTGCCTCCCTCCCTCCGTGGGGTGGTCTGCCTTCTGAACGCACAGAGTAGAGCAGGAAGGTACCCGTCTCAGGACCACCAAGGTGCCTGGGGTCCCAGGAGTCTGAGAGCCCCACGTGCCCACTCCAAGCTCCATCTTTAATTCACTGGGAAGGCGAGCTGTCCCCACCCCCAGCATGCCCTCTGTCAAGCAGTGCATGTGGTGCCCGTGTCCCTTCCCACTATGTGATGTAGCGGGGGACGGCGTGGAGGGAACTGGCCGGGGCATGACCGCAGCCACCTGACCCCTGGACCCGTCCCCCCAACCCCGCAAGTGATCTGAAGGCAGCCCAGAGCAGTGTGGACCGGCCTCCAGTCGTGTGCTGGCTCCCCCCACCCTCAGTCCGGCTGGCTGGGCAGAGTCTGTTCTGCACACACCCTGTGCTTTGCTCTGTGTCCGAGGTCGAGAGCAGCTTCCTTCTCCAAAGCCTGGCCGGTCCCCTCTCCCCTCTTGGGCAGCCACAAGCCAGGTGATGCCATCCAGGGCAGGAGAGACCTTCAACGCGGTTCTCATTGCCCTCAATAATCTGATTCAGGAACAGCCTGTGAGGCCCGCTCTGGGGGGAATGCCTCCAGAGTGACTTGGAGTCTCCCTTCCAAGGCCAGAGACCCCCGTGGGCAGTGGGAGGCCATGGCGAAGCAGGGAGGGCCCTGCCTCCAGACCAGGAGAATACGGCTGTACGGAGGCGTGTGGACGCTGGGCCGAGGGGCTGTCCGTGCTCCACGGGAACAGGCCAGCTCTCCCCGCAGCTGACCATCAGAGAGCTCTTTGTGGATGATCTTGAGCAGGCTGTGAGGGTCCTCCCGGGTCAGCCCTTGCTGAAGTGTGGCTTTGGGCCGCAGCTGCTCACACCCTGAGGCCAAAGGAGGAGATGGGGCCGGGCGGGACTCTGGCCACTATGGAGCCCAGATGTGCTTAGAGTAACTTGCTGTTCTCTCTCAATTCTCACTGCCAGAACTGGGCGCCTCCGGGCTGTGAAAAGTTAGGGAAGTGCTTGACGCCCCCGGAGTCCGTCCCAGAGAAGTGCTCCTGGCCCCACTAGTGCCTGCGGCCAGGAGGACTCTGGCCTCAGGGCTCCCTGCTGGACAAACCCTGAGCCCCGGCTGCCCTCGGGCCGTGCCCACACCGGACAGACCTCATCTGCAGCCAGCAGCGGGACCTGCTGGCTCCATGTGCCGGAGACCCAGCCCTGGCATCCCTCAGCCCTCCTGGTCGGGCTGACCCTGCTTCGAGGACCCACAGCCTCACAGCCCGAGAGCCGGATGCTGCCCTCCGACCTCCTTCTGCCGGCCTCCTCCAGGGCCCTGCCTCCATCCCGGGATCCAGAGGACAGGGCTGCGACCTGAGTCTCACCGTCACAGTTGGCCTCGCCAGTCCTGTGTTGGCCCCTTGGCCCCTGCGCCCCACTGAGTGGGATTGTGAAGGCGGAAGGGGATCCTGACAACCCACCAAGGAAGGCCTCCCTGGTCCAGTGGGGACCTTGACCTTCCCCCTTCCTTAGGGATCCTGACCCCAGGACCCTGTGGCGAGTCGGTGCCTCTCAGCTGCCCTGCCAGCCTTCCTCCCCGGGGCGGGGCTCCTAGTGTTGCCTGGCGCGGGGAGCCTGGGGGAACCTGAGCGAGCCGGTGTAGACGCCAACCGTACTGCGCCGCTGTAAGACTTGGGAAATAACGAAGAGGAGTTTTAGAATAAAGGAGCGGGCACTTGGGGGTTCTTTTTTAAGAGCTACGTTTTTGCAGAAGCCGGCCAGAGGGGAGCGGTGTGCCCGGGTGGAATTCGCTGCGTCCCGCCCAGCGGCGGCCGAGCCACCGCCCACCTCCGCGGACGGGGCGGTGCTCTCGGGTGGCCCGGGCCCTTCCTCCTCCCGGACTCTCGCGGGGCCGGCCCCGCCCCTCGGCACTTCCCCGGGAGCCCGGCCGGCCCTTCGCGGACGCCGCGGTCGCCCTCCGGCCGCGCAGCCACCGCAGATGCGGACGCGTTTGTTCAGGGTGCAAAACCGCAAGCGCGCCGGAACAACCTTGGCACCTAAGATTCGGAGAAATACGGTAGTCCCGGCGAGCGGCGGGGAGCCAGCCCCACGGTGCGGCCCCGCCCACTGGCGCCCAGCGCAGGCGCAGAGCCGCCGGCCCCGCCCCCTCGCCGCCGAGCCTCGCTCCCCCGCTCGCTGACACGCGCCGACTGCTCGATGGCGGACCCCGAGCTGCAGCTGGTGGCGCGGCGCGTCCGCAGCTTCCCGGACTTCCCCGTCCCGGGGGTGCTGTTCAGGTGTGGGCGGGGCGGCCGCGGGGGCGCGCGGCGCGGGGGGGCGCGGGGGGCCGCGGGGCCCACGCCCGACGCCCTGCCTCACCCGCCCGCTCGCGCGCGCCAGGGACATCTCGCCGCTCCTGAAGGACCCCGCCGCCTTCCGCGCGTGCATCAGCCTCCTGACGCGCCACCTGAGACAGACGCACGGCGGCGACATCGACTACGTCGTGGGCAAGTGAACCCGGGACGCCCCGCCGGCCCTGCCGCGCCCTGGGGTGTCCGGGGCCGCAGGGTCTGCGCCAGGAGGCCGTGAGCGCGGAGGGGCTGGGGGGCGGCCCCCGGGGGACACACTGGACGCCGCACCGGTGTTTGGGTGGGTGGTAGGGACGGACCCGCTGCGCCGCACGCGGCGGCCGGAGGGTGGGTCCGGCCTCGAGTGGCCCGGCAGACGGTAGCGGCCCCGCCCGCGCCGCAAGTTCCTGGCCTCCAGCTCCGGACACGTGGGGCCCCGCCGCCCGGTTGCGCAGGGAGTGTCTGACCAGAGTCCACGGGCCAAGCACGCTGGTGTTCTCCCCTGGAGTGCCCTGAGCCCTGGGCCGCGCCCTTTCCCCGCGGCACCCTGGCAGGTCTGGTCCCTGTGCGAGTCCCCTCGCCCGGGGCTCCCGGGGCTCCCAAGGCTCCCCGAGACCAGAGCTTTCCACTTGGCTGAGTCCCCCCGGCCAGGGCAGTCCGCCCCACTGCACTGCTGGAAGGCGTGGGGACCCCGCTCTGCCCGCTGCAGGCAGAAGCTGCTTTTAAGGATGACGAAAGGCGCCTGAGTCCCTGTCATAGTCCCTGCCAGCCCCGCTAGACCGGCAGCAGCGCTGAGCAGGGAAGTCAGGTCACTTCCCTGAGGCACAGCTGCACGTGCGTGCCGTGCCGGGCACGCCGGGTCCTTGACCCCACCTCCCAGGGTCCCTGTGCGCGGCAGGGGCCGCGTCAGCGTTGTCGAGAGTGTGACGTCCTTGGTCTTCCAGCTGCGGCCGACAGAGCCAGGAGCCTTTTGTCTTTGCAAAGGCTCCGTGTCACCTTCCAGCACTGGCTCACGGGGACCTCAGGCTGCTGTACCACACAGCTGCCCCTTGACACCCCAGCTCTCGCCAACAGGCCTGGACTCCCGAGGCTTTCTGTTCGGCCCATCCCTGGCCCAGGAGCTTGGCTTGGGCTGCGTGCTCATCCGAAAACGAGGGAAGCTGCCCGGCCCCACTGTGTCTGCCTCATACACCCTGGAGTACGGCAAGGTGAATGGGCTGGGCACCGCCGCCCACCCCGAAGAGTCGTGGGGTCGAGGGGCACTGCCGTGGTTGGTGCTCAGCCTCTGTCTGAGACGCCAGGCTCGCCAAGAGACTGCTGGGTGGGTTGAAACCGGGGCCCAGGCTGTCGCATCCTGTCAGCATCCCCTCCCAGGCCATTTCCGGACACAGGCGGACCGTGTGCTTCCCATTTGCAGGCGGAGCTGGAAATCCAGAGAGATGCCTTGGAGCCGGGGCAGAAGGTGGTGGTCGTGGACGATCTGCTGGCCACTGGCGGTGAGGGTCTTCCCCCCCACCCACCCCACCGAAGGAGGGCCGGGGGGGGCGGGGGCTCCGCTTCGAGGGCTGGAAGAATGTGCCTCACAGCATGTGAGCAGCAGACCAGGCAGCGCTGTCCAGCTTACAGTGAGCTGCGGGACCCCGCACGGGCCACTGGGAGCCTCGTCACCCTACCAACCCCCTCTCCCCCCGCCCAGGAACCATGCGGGCAGCCTGTGAGCTGCTGGGCCAGCTGCAGGCCGAGGTGCTGGAGTGTGTGAGCCTGGTGGAGCTGACGTCCCTGAAGGGCAGGGAGAAGCTGGCGCCGGTGCCCTTCTTCTCCCTCCTGCAGTTCGAGTGACGCCGCCGCGGCCGCCAGGGGGCGCCAGCCATCTGCCTGGACTTTTTTTTTTTTTTTTTTTAACGGTTTTGTGCATGCAGTTGCCTTTCCGAAGTGCCTAGGCCGTGGTCGCGGTCCTTCCTGCGGGCTCTGGAGCTGGAGGTGCCAAGGCCTGGAGCCGGCAGTTCAGGCGGGGGCCCAGCCCCCACAGGTGCACTTAACAAAGACAGACGTGAATAAACTGCTTTGTTAGAGTGGCTGCTCTCGGTCCGGGTGCTGGGGTGCGGCCGTGGGGCGACGTGCAGGATCCCACCTGGCCGGCCGCCCGGGCCTCCTGTGGCCCAGAGCAGGCAGGAGACCAGGGCTGCCCGAACTGCTGCCCAGTCATGGCTCCAAAAGGTCACGCTCCTGGGCAGCTCACAACTTTGTCTTCAGGTTCTAGATGGTGGAACTGCCCATCCGTGTTGCTGGGGCTGGTTCCTTCAGGGGGCTCCAGGCTTTCCCAGCTTCTAGAGCCTCAGGGCCGACCCTCCATCTTGAGCCAGCAGCTTGCTGCCCTCCTACAAGGGCCCAGGGGGTCACCGAGCCCACTGGGCCATCCAGGATTCCCACGTGGATGTCCTGGGGACATTCTGCCCACCGCCTGCCCTCCTGCCTCACTTCCCTACACCCCAAACACTGCAGAGACCAAGTCCCCAACAAAAACCAGTTTAATGACAAAAATGCTGCCCCAGGGGAGGCCTACTGCCCACGCTGGCCAGGGAGCCTGGTGGGGGGTGCAGAGGAGGGAAAGTGCATCTTGTTCCTAAAGAGAGTAAAAGACACAGCGGGCAAGGGCAGGGACCGGAAGTCCGTGGCTGCGAGGTTCACAGCACCGCCTCCGCCCGGGCAAGGCAGGCCAGCCGTGTGAGGACACCTGCCAGGTCTGCAGCCTTGTCCAGCTTGATGTAGGTGTCCGCACGGACACGGTGCAGACTGAGCCAGTCGGGCAGCAGCTCAGAGAGGAGTTGCACGTGCTTCTCCATCTCCCCTGCAGAAGGAGGGGTGCATGAGGCGGGGGCCCAGGCCCCGTCAGCAGGCCTGCCTGAAGGCCAACCCTGCCCCTCTCCCCCTGCCTGCCTGTCCATGCCTCCGAGAAGCAGAGTGAACACCGAAAGATGGGGAACAGCTTTGCCAAGGAGCTGACCCTCCCACTAAGCCCCACACAGGTCCCAGTCCCCAGGGGCGAGCTACCCTGGAGCTTGGAGGGAGCCAAGGGTCCCATGGGCCGTGGGGCCACCTGAGGGGCTGCAGGGCACAGTCGGGTTGCGAAGGCAGAAGCTCGAGAGCTGACCTCCAAGGCACTGTGCCCGCCCAGCACACACCACAGACGCTCCACACGCATGTGGAGCAGCCGATCCCCGGTGCCCACCCTCAGCCGGGAGTCGGGGACACAGGGAGGGCCCCGCACACACCAGGGCTCAGGGCCACGGGGTAGCTGCCCAGCAGCCTGCTGCAGGCCACGTCCATGGGCAGCGCCGGCTTGCGCTCGGACACGAAGATGCTGCGCAGTACGCGGGCGAGCTCGGGCAGCCGCTCGAGCCGCTGCAGCCGCTGCTCCTGCTCCGGCCGCCGGGTCATCTGTGCCAGCTGCTTCCGTGCCTCCTTGCACCGGATCTGCGGCGGGCCCAGGCCACAGTCAGTGGGAAGCCAGGCCCGTGCTGTCCCCGGCTCTGCCCCACCGGGACCCCCAGCACTCACCCTCTCTAGCAGGTCCTGGGACACCCCCTTCAGGGCCGCAGGCGGGTTAGCTGGTGGTGTGGCCGGTGGGTCGGAGCCGGGGGACCCAGGGCTGCTGGGCTTGGCGGTACGCTGGGCCAGGTCACTCAGGGCCTTTTCCATCTAGGGCAGGTCAGAGGGAGGAATGAGGAGGAGCCTCCCCTGCCGAGGGGGGGCACAGTCTGTCCAGCCCAGCAGGGCTGAACCTGCTGCCCCAGGACAGAGCCGGCCAGCCTGCGCACTGCGTGGGATGGACAGCCCATCCCACCGCCCCGAGGCATGTGGCCCAGGACAGAGCCTACCTATCAGATGCCCGCGTGGAGACGGGGCCGCCCCGCCCTGTCATCCCAGACTCAGTCTCACCCTGGGCGACAGGAGGCCGCGGGCACGGGCCAACACCTCCTGGGCGGTGGCCGGCTTCTCCACGGTGGGCGGCTGGGGCAGCTCAGCCGGCTCGATGTCAGGCACGCTGTCCACATTGAACCGGGGGTGCCAACGTGTGAGCTGGTCCTCAGGCACCACCACGGGAGGGTTCAGGGAGGCCAGGAAGGCCTGTGTGTGAAGGGGACAGGGAGTGTGGGCTGATCCCGGGCACATCCGTGTTGGGGCAGGCAAGGCTGTGGGGCTCCTGTCCCGGCTGGACTACCTGCACCCGAGCTCCAGCTGCTCAGCCGGGCAAGGACAGGACACCGCAGCCGACAGCCCCCACTGAGCCCGTCGTGAACCTCCAGGGGCCTGGGGCTGCCATGCAGAGCTCCTCCCCCTCAGCCGGGGGACAGAACCGGGACCCTCGCCCACCCCACATCCACCCTGCAGGAGGCAGCCATGGGAGGGGTCCAGAGAACTCGAAAGGTCAGCCTCTCAAGAAGGCCTGTTTCCTGCAGGCAGGACCGAGCTGTTACAGGAGGGGACGGGGTGCAGGGCGGGCTAGGGACAGGCCTCCCACATGGGCCGGGTACTCACACTGTGGTGCTCGAGGACACGCTTCACCAGGTTCTGGCTGAAGAGCCGCCGGCGCTGCAGGAGCTTCGAGGCCGTGAGCTGGGGCGCTGAGCTGCCGGCCTCTGCGGGCAGAGTTCAGGGCTGAGGCCCCGGGTCTTGGACGAGGCCAAGGGCCCAACGCCTCACACCCACGCTCCAAACCGTGTCACTGGCAGGGAGACAAGCTCAGAGCTGCGTGAACTCAGCCACGGCTCACTCACCGTGGTCCAGCAGCGGCTCAATGGTAAGCTGGTAATCGGACCTCTTGACGCCGTCCTTGAAGGTGGGGATGTTGCGCTCCTGGCGGAAGCGGTAGGAAGTTGGATACACGGCTCTGATCTGGCCCACGTTGCGCTCTTCAAAGCACCTATGAGACAAGGTACTGGGCTCAGAGAGCTCCAGGCAGGGCACAGGGCGGTCTCCACAGGCAGGGGGAGGCCCCTGCCCGCTGTGGGCCACTCACTTGTGCATCATGTCCTGAACGCCCTGCTTGACTTTGGCAAACGTCACGGTCTCGGAGCGGTTGTACAACAAGCCCACGATGGCGTCCATGCTGCGGAACATCTCCGCCAGCACCTGGTACTTGTAGGGCAGCACGAGGCCTGGTGGCCCCGGCTGGGCCAGGGCGTGGAAGCGCTGGTAGGCAGGTGCCTTCTCTCCACTGCCATGGAGGAAGCCAGGCTCAGGGAAAGCACCAGACCCACACCCCTCCAACACAAATAGCAGGCAGGCAACGTGGCCCTGGAGACCCCAGGGCCGGGGAAGTCCCAAGCCACCCCCAACCCTGGTTCCCTCATCTCTAAGAGGCACACTATGACCACAGGGAGCAAAGGAGGACAGACAGGGCTACAGGACACGTACACCCCATAGCAGCGAGCCTTTGAAAGCATCCGAAATTCACAAGGGCCCTCACGGCAAGAGCTGGCACGTCTCACAGATGGAGGTCCGGGTGCGGAGCTAGCCAGTGGCAGACCTGGGATCTGAGAGCCCCATCCCTGCCTCTGCCCAGCCCTGTCCTCCTACCAGCCTAGCCTTTCTTTTGGGGCCTGAACGCCCACCCAGGACTCACCATGGCCCTGCTGGGTGCCCCTGGTCCTCCAGCACGCTGGGCTCGCCAGCATCCTTCCTCTGGGCACTTGCCCTCAGCTCCTGGGCCCGGGTCCCTAGCTCCCGTGCCCGCTGTAGGCACGACTTCAGCTCAGAGAATGTGACTTTTGAGGAGGTCTGTGGACACAAGACGCCATGAGCTGGCCAGTCACACCCACATCACTTGATCTCCCCCACCCTGGGTCCAGACTCACTTTCTTCTCCGGGGTGGCCAGGCAGGGCTGGAGACCTGCTGAGAGAGAGGCCTGCTCTGGGGAGCCAGGGACAGCCAGGACAGCCGGGGCAGTGGCATCAGCTGGGGCACTGGTGTCAGCCGGGACAGCGAGGGCAGCTGGGGCAGGTGGGGCAGTGGGACCCGAGACCTGGCGGGCAAGACGCAGAAGGTGAATGAGGAATCAGACTCGGTGGTGAAAGACTGATTCCTCTCTCCCTCGCTTAGCTACAAAGGGGGCACAAGGCCCAGTTTTCGCTGGAGTCAAACCAGAGGAGCCAGCAGTGGCCTGTCTGGGCTTCTTGCTCCTCCCGGGCTTGACCCCTCGCCCAGCCTGCGCTGGACATCTACCAGCCCACGGAGCCCAGGCCCTCCTCCGGCCCCTCCAGCAGCTCCGTCCAGCACCTCCGCGCCCTCCTGCGGAGCTCTGCGCCCGGTTCTCGCGGCGCCCACCGCACACCTGCCCCCGCCGTCTGCGGGCACCGGGCCCCAGGCCTTCTCCAGTGTCCTGCAGCGGTTCGGGGCCGGTTCTCCGCACCGTGCACCGTGGGCAGCCCGCCCCCCGGTCCGCGCCCCCCGCCCGCGCCCCAGCCCCGGCCTGTCTCCCGCTCACCGCGTCGGCCGGCAGCCGCAGTCTCCGGCGCGCGGGCGGCGCGGGGTGGTCGCGCGCGGGCTCTGCGGGCGGGCGGGCGCGCTTGCGGCTGCTGCCCGGGGTGCGGGCCGGGGCGCCTGCCGCGGGCTTGGCGGGGCTCGGGGTGCGCCAGGCCTGCTTGACCCGCGGAGGCACGGCGCGGAGCCCGGGGCGGCGGCGCGCGAAGAAGTCGGTGAGGCGGGGCTGTGCCATGGCGGGAGCGGGGACAGGGACCGGGCTCCGGGCGGGACGCGGAGCGAGCGGGGACCCCGAGGCACGGAAGTGGTGCCGCGCGCGGAGCCGATTTTCCCGCCGCGCCTGCCCCCGCCCCCCGCGGGTGGAACCACCGGCGGGGGAGCCGGGGATGGCCGAGAAATGGGCCCGTCCTGGCGCATGCGCACTGACGCTCTCGCGGCTGCGCCGACGCGCGCATGCGCCGAAGCGCGGCCCCACCTCCGCCTCCGTCCTCCCGACTTCCGGCTGGGGAAGAACTAGGCCTGGGGAGACCGCGGGGCCGGGGCGGTTTAGGCGAAGAGAGCGATGGCTCGCCGCTTCTCTTGAGGTTG